CCCCCCCCCCCCCCCCCCAGCCGTGCCATGGGGCTGGACCGCTCTCAGGCACAGTGTGGGTCACCGTGGTCTGGCCCTCCAGACACAAGGCAGCGACTGGAGTCCGCTGCTCCCCGCCTGTGGTCCAGGCACGAGGACCACCTGCAAGGGAGGGCCTGGCTTCCTTTCTCTGCCAGCTGTGCACACTCTGCCTGTGAAACAGCCCCCCCTTTACCCACCTCCCCCTCCTCCCGCCCCGGGGTGCATGTCCCTCACTCAGGTGCCTCGCACTGGGGAAGGCGGATGAGCAGGGGGAAATGAGGGCTTCAGTCTAGACCCGTCCCCTCCCTCAGGGCCGGCCCCCGAGTCCCTCCACATCAGGATGGGGGTGGCCTCAGCCCGTCAAGCATCATGTTTTTGGGAGCCGGCCCCCGTCTACCACTCTTGGCTGCCCAGCTGGTCCTGCCAGGCCTCTGCGCTTGCCAGCTGCCTCTGCTTGGTCTGAGGCATCAAGGCCCATGTACGGGTTCAGTGGTTGGTTGCGGCCTAAGGAATGCTTTCTAGAATGTTATCGTGATTTAAACCAGCACGTGGTCCCCGCCACTACGGTCCTGAGGCAGGAGCTTCCTCGCATCCCAGCCTGGGCGCCTCAGACCCAGCTCACCGTCTCCCCCAGTCACATGAGCGCAGTGGGTGTGGGGCAGTGGGTTCCCGATGTGAACCCCGTCGGCTGATCTTCCTGCCCATTCACATGCGTGTTTCTGTCGCCCTCCCTCCCACTCTCTCTCTAAAAATCAGGCCTGTGCCTATTGGAGACTGGGGGGTTGCGGGTGGGGTTGCCCCCCTCCAGGGTCAGCAGACCTGGACCCACCCAGCTCTGCCCCTCCTGCCTGGGCCTCAGCACTCCCAGGTGTAACCGGCGATGGCAATGGGTAGGGTGGAGCCTGACACTTAGCTCGTATCCCCTTCCCCTGAGGAAGTTCACAGGCTCACTGTGGGAAGGAGGCGTGATTTCTGTGACCTTGTTGGCGACATGGGTGTCACAGGCTCAAGGGAAACTGCCATCAAACCTCCTCATCTTGTAGTCGATGACGAGGCCACACACCAATGGCCACACTGCGGGGAGCACCTCTTCCCCAGCGTGAGGCCAGGGTGGGGGGAGAGGGACGGCATCGTCCCGGAGGGCTCCACAGTCCAGTCAATAGGACCACGGGGCGTGGAGCAGTGAGGGGCGCCTTGGCTCCTCCCGCCCCCGCTCCTGAGCACCTGCCACAGCGAGATGCCACCCCCTCGAGGGGCGGGACACAGAAGAAACGGAATGGGACGCCGTTCTATTGCTGAACACCAATATGCCACTTTATTGTTTGGGTTTTCTCCCACTTGTCACAGACCTGTCCATGTTCACACGGCGAGGAAAATCAACCCGCAGTGGACGCAAATGACCAATCAGTTGATCATTCTGTATACGCTTCACACACATCAGCGCTTACGTGGTAGAAATACCTTTAATTTGATTCAGTCTCACGGCTATTCTTAAAGTCGGTGTCAAGATTGTCACATCTTTAAATACAGATAGAATTGTCAGAAGTACATATTTTATATATATATATATATACACACACATATGTATATATATACACACACATACAGAAAAATACAAGACTAATTGTCCACAATATTTAATTTACACACTACTGTAACTCTATGCAACTTCTGAAGACAGGTTAAGGGGTACAAGAAACTGTTTAGAGCAAGTAAGTAGTTTGGTCCAATATTATCTTAATGTAATGGTTATTCGCTCCCTCTCTTTTATGGGACAACATACTATGGCATACAACACATGCACAGTCACTCAGTTAGGAACAAAGGAGTAAGACACCACTCAGACTAACATCTGTCTACCCAGAGGGCCAACCAACCACACACAACTAATAAGGCTATAATACAGCTATGCAGCATAAATGGTCAACACTGCTGATCCTAGAGTGAGCACCATATATACATCTGAATATAAAAAACACAACGAAAACCGAACACATACGGGTTCAAATGTGCCATTCCAAGGCTATACATAATCACAGGAAAAAGTATTTACATTGCTTGGAAAACAGCTGCAACAAAGAGTTTATTGCCAATGCCCTTTATAAACTTCTCTCCTATGTTTAATACAGATGTTACGCTCACTGTCTATGTGAACCACAAATCTTATTTCTGGCCCTTTATAAGATCCCTGCTCAAGAATTTCAAGCAAATGTGTTCTATGGCTTCACCCACACACCTATTCTCATAGCTTTCAATTATAAATATCACACTGAACTAGAGCTATAGCTTAAAACACATCTAGCCTAGGTCTAGAAAGTAAAAGAAGTATTTGAAGTATCATCTTTACTTAGTCTAGTAAGTATACAGTGAAATTCAGAGCTCTGAGTAAAACAGATGGGTACTAACGTAGCAAGGTCAGTGTATACGTGGAGGCATTGCCCAATGGCATGCCGTCCCCTGGGGCTGCGCCACTGTGTGGACCAGACACCTCACTGGAGGCTGATGAGCGTGGGAAGGCCCGGGCCCAGCCGCATCCTATCACCAATGCGGCTAAAGCATCTAAGACCCCTCGGGGCACAGCATAGAAAAGTAGCATCTGGCCCCTTCCGCAATCAGCAATGTGCAATACACTGTGCCTACAGATAAAATTTAAAGATGATTATCTGGTCAAAAGGAGTCTCTGTACAGGAATAGTTTAAAGCAAGAGTTCTTGATTATTGTTTTGGCAGGAAGGCAAAGTGACAAATATTTTCAGCAAAAAACCAAAACTGAAGCAGGTTTTGTTTGTTGATTGTGTGCATTCTACCCTTTTATGTGTATTTTTTGATTAGCCAATTGTCATAGCTAATTGAGCTAAAGGATATAAAATGGAAGTAACAAAAGAGACAACCTAATTACCAAACTCGTAAAAATCAATCCATGTGTATATATATGTGTTTATATATGTTTTTTTCAATGACCGGGTTTTGACTTTGCCCTCTCTGAGTGCACTTTGCCTCCACGTTAGGCCCTACAGTTTCTTCTATCTACATGGTTCTGAAGGAAACCCTGGGCTGTGCCCTGCGGGAAGGAGTTTACACGAGCGTCATTTTGTTCTGTTACACAGACACACTCTATAAGTAGAGTTAAGACATCATCAGTTCACACATTACAAAATAAGATTGTCTGCTTGTCATTTACCACTACAGGGGAAGCTGCCTTATAAATCTAAGTACTTTATCTCACCTATTACAAAACAAGAAAATCTTTTTCAGTTAATTTTTAAGAGCCCAAACTTTTTTCACACTATAGCTTAAGACAAACAGGTGTGGGTATGTTGAAATCTCGGTTTAAGGTTCTAGTGCAGACGTTGGCTGTACTCTGTCCCGCGCAGCCTCCGAAAGCTGGCGGGTACGTCCGCGGGCTCCAGGCCTGTCGGCATCTCACCGTTATTGCTTTGGTTCTGTATCGGACACCAGAGTGTGCCCCACAGCACGGAGTCTCCGTGTAACAAGGTCAGGACAGGAATTTAGATTTTTCAACAAGGAAATACAAGCATGTTTTCTCTGTCTAGGTTAAGTGCGGAACATCAAATTTCTAAGTGCTCCATTTATATTAGGTACCAAATATACATTTTAATTTAATCCTGATCATCCACACTAAAATTCTGAATGTAAAAGTGACACACGAGATTGACTTTTCGGCTGGAACAGAAAAGCAGTGTCTAGCAGCAGCATGCACAAGGACCATGCATTGTCACAGCGCCAGGCGAACGAAGGGAAGCGTAATAAATAACTGCCCGCTGAGAGGGTAAAACCGAGAGCAAACAGTGAAGGGAGCGGGTCTTCACTGCTTTGAGCAGGAAGAGTGCGAGTGGCCAGGCGGCCACTGTCAGACGACGCGGCAGCAGGTGGCCTGGCTGGAGGCGCACAGCAGCCCCTCCTTGGGGATCCGCTGGATGTTCACAGAGATGGTCTTTTCGCACAGAGGTAGCTGGAGCACGTTGTTTTTCAGGTTCCTGCTCTGTATCCGTTCTAGCTCAGTGGTGCTGTCCGCCACGTGGTCGGAGAAGAACTTGAGGCTGCCCACCACGGGGGCCTGGCCCAGGTTGCCCGCGGAGCTGATGCACATCTTCCATGTGGACTTCTCCTGGACCTTGACACTGGAGAAGGACAGGCCGTGCTGCGGGTCAAGAATGTACTTGGTGCCCCCGCGGAGCTGAGAGCCCAGGCAGAGGCCCATGAGTTTGAGGCTCTGCACCAGCTCCCCGGCGCTGCG